GTCAGCTCTGGATGCTGAGGGACCTCCTGGGTATTCAGGACATCTACATCGGTGTTTTGGTTGAGCAATGAATGGTAGTGCTCTTTCCAGCGCTGAAGGAGGCCTTCGTCGTCTTTAATTATGAAATTACCGTCAGATGAGCGGAGGGGGGCAGCACCACGAGTGGTTAGCCCATAAAATGTTTTGAAGGAATTGAAAAATTCGCGCATCTTTTGCTGATCTGCAAGTTTTTTTGTATTTCGTATGCTTTAATTTTAAGCCAGTCATTCTTTAGAATACGAAGTTCCCGCTGGGCCGCCGCTTTCTTCGTGCGGAAGGTATCAGCTTTGGTCCGAGACTGAGGTTTGTTTTGCCAGTCAGTAAAGCACACACAGACACACACACACACAAGGGATGGAGACATGAAGGCATTGGAAGACTGACTAACAAACATACGGACGAGTTAAGATATTAAAGCTAGACCCACACAGACAGAGGTTCGTATAGCGAATACAGTATTACATCTAATTAAAAACGTATGAATGCATCTACCCGGCTCACTTAAGTTGTAACCCACACCAAAATTCAAATATGGCATCGTAATGACACTGACTCTACCTTATCTCGGTGAAAAATAAGGTACAGAATGGTGTGGATATGATATAGTACTGTAACTTAAATTTCCACCCTTTAATACTATAATTATAAGTATTTTCCCTAAATGCATTATCTCTCAATCACGTCTATTACTTAAATTTTGTCTGTCTGTGATGTGAAACAATAATCTTACAATCAAATTTCGTCCTTAAGAAAACCCATCATGCATACAGAACTATTAACAACCCTTTATTAATTCATTCACGTCATAAATAAACACTATTTTGTAATTTATTATCCCATCATTTAGATCCACACAAATATCCAATATAAAAATTTAACGCCTATAAATTCCGTCTTGCAGATCTTTCGTGGAAATAATATCCTCCAAATAATGTTTTTGAATATTTACACTTAATCATCACTATGTCAATCCCGACATTCATTTACTTAAATTCCGTAGTTAAGACTGTTCCTGGTGATGGGTTTTCATTATATAGTTCTTTATTTCACTTCGCTAATTCAAAGTTTCATTAAGTTTCACAAATAAAACTATACCATTTAATTTCGTTCTCTGGCAGATCGACCTCTTAACTTTTAATGGATCACATTTCAGCTATTTATTCGTAAATTAACCTTCTATTTTCAACTTCTTCATATAAAACATAGTTCTGTGTTTTCCATCAATCAAACTTTGTCACTTATGTTCCTATTTCTACAGTCCTTTGTATAATCGTAAATATTATTATCCGTTAAAAAAGGTGCCTTAATTTCAATGCGGACTTTAAATTCTCATTCATTGTTTTTTAAATACGAACTTTAAATTACGTTCACTCACAAGCGTTGTCTAGCCTTCCGGAAAGTTACGCTTCTTTATTATTTATATATGTAGAAATTTTTGCTGCTTATATGAGGTAAATAATCGAGTTTTAGGCTTATTTATACAATATTTAGAATATTCGATAGAGCTCAAAATTATTAAATAAGTTTGTCCTTCTCCATTCTCTTAAAATAAATTATAGAAAATGAAAACGTACATAAGACAAACAAATTTATTCTCATTATAAACCCTACAATTATCTTCCGGGGTTTCCTCACGCTATATTTTAGACAATTTTGGGATGAAATTCTATCAAATATGGTTAAATATACCTTAAGGACATATATAGATAACCGAAAGCCTAAATATTTTCACTTTTTAGTCAATGTCACACACGTAGATATACAGTATTTACAATATTCAACCATTATCTGTTAAATATTAAGAAAGCCTATTAAAAGAAAAAGAAGTTACGTCACTCGTGTAAACTGAAGAAAAAAATCCTAAGGGCGAGTTTGGGAAGAATTCAGTAATCCTTTTGAAATTCAGGAAACATAGTAAATAAAAGTGATAGAAGAGTGATGGAAAAGTCTTGGTGCCATAAGTCATGGTGTCACAGGCTTTAATGTCATAAGCTCGAGTGTCATAAGTCTTGGTGCCATAGGCCTTAATGCCGTAATCTTAGTGTCACAGGTCATAGTGTCATAAATCTTAGTGTCACAGGTCATAGTGTCATAAATCTTAGTGTCACAGGTCATAGAATCATAGACCATAAGGTATTATCGGCCTTATTAAGTTAATGGCTCACAGTAACACAAAAGCGCATAGGAGTACTGTACTAAAACTCAGGAGTGTACATATGTTTGTGTCTGTCACACCGTGTGAATAATATACTAAACCAGGTGTAATAATAATAATAATAATAATAATTAACGGTTTATTGAAAGGGCTTGGCAGCCAGAAGGCTGAAAATATACAGTTACATATTTGGGGAATGGGTTACGAATTACAAATAATATACAAGTAACATAAGTGACACAAATAAGACATATAATAACTAGATGTGGAAAAGCTCAAACTACAGTTCATTTCAACATAGTGACAGTGTAAGGAGCAGTGTTTACTGGGAGTGAATACACTGATTTATTACAAGTTATTGATAATTTTTACAATGGTTGGGACTGGGCTGTTCTTATAGCGATCAGTTCGTGCACGTATGGGCTGGATGCGGTTGTGGTGTCGAACAGCAATTCTCGGACAAGGGATCTCAGGTGGTAGTAGGAGCCGGTGTCGGGGATGGTGTAGAAGCTTCTTACCAAATTTGCAGATGAGGTCGTGGTGATGGTCAGTGAGAGTCGAAAGGGTCAGTGTGTTGAGCGCTTCTTGATATGTGGAGTAGGAAGGGGAGAGAATAATCTTGCATGCCCTCTTTTGCACTTTTTCTAGGTGTTTACGTTGTGTGGCATTTAGGGAGGAAGACCAGGTGGGGGAGGCATAGGTGAGCTTGGGAAGTATGAATGTTGTGTAAACACTGAGGAGCTCGTGTGCAGGAACTCCGAGGGACTTGAGTCGGCGGAGGAGGTGGAGACGGAAACTGGAGGATTTGACAACTTCACTGACGTGTGGTTTCCAATTTAGTTTGTTGTCTATGGTGACGCCGAGGAGCTTCGTGGAATCTACAACCTGGAGTGTGTTCGGACCTAAAGTAATGGAAGGAGGTGGGACAATGTCGGAGGAGAGGTTGATGTGCATAACCATGTGTGTGTGTGTGTGTGTGTGTGTGTGTGTGTGTGTGTGTGTGTGTGTGTGTCGTTTTTATGCGAGTACTATGCTAAACAGGGAGTGTACTTTTTGTGTGTGTGTGTGTGTGTGTGTGTCGCTTTATGTGAGTATTGTACTACACAGGGGGTGTACATGTGCGTGTCGCTACGTTGAGAATAATGGACACAAAAGGTGGAACTTGGATAACATTCTCCACGCCCAACCCTGCTTCCTGCCTCTGTCTGGGAACCTCTGTGTAAGAACTTCTGGTTGGAGACTTCTGTCTAGTCTAGGAGTGTCTATGATACTAGAGTCTTATATTTAAGGTCGATCTAAAGTCGACAAATGCTCCCGTACCCCGAGTCGGTAATGTACCCCGGGTGGGGCGCTCAACCGCCTACAGTACATGGTTCACCGTGAAACACCGGAAGCACTAGTGCCCTGCTCACCCGGGTTACATTACCAACCCAGGGTACGGGCACATCATATTTAAACACGTTATAAGTGGTAATTGGCTCACATAACTCAGTGATATACTATAAACATGCACCGTAACATTATCGTAATCAAATCTCATTAACAACTACAGTTAACGTTGGTGATGCTGGTGTTTGACGTCACTATGTCTCATCCTTGGCGTCACCACTAGGATCCCCCCGCCCAATAACGGAAGCTAACTGGTGGGAGTTTTAAATCACTTCCCCTCTTCTGTTCTTCCGGTTTCCTCGCTCTGTATACATGTGGCCCACTTCTACGGTTTAAATACCATAATATTACATCAACTTATTCACCTCCATCAAGGTTATTACTTATCAGAAACATAACCAAAAGGTCTATTAATGGTAATATAACGTCATAAAATACATACTACGTAATTAACAATCTGGCCACGCCCACCAGCTGAGGCAGCACCTGACTCCCTCAACCACGGGACAATAATTTGATTTAGTTGTCTATTTCCATTTTTAAGTTATTATATTTTGCAATGAAGGTAACAGCTTAAGACACGTGAAGCAGGAGTGGGTAGGTATGGGGACATGCAAATCAATAATTAAAGAAATAGTGAAGTAATTAAGCATTTGTTTACAACGCCTTGCATTAATCTGTTGACTAAAAATATCCTGAATGTTTAAAAAATAAACAGAACAATATGTTTATACGTTATTTATTTTTAGTACTAGAATTAATAAGAAAAAGAAGTAAGTGGAATTCGAAAAAAAAATTACGAGAGGTTTACATATTCTACAAGAATCAAACTAACTGTACAGTATATCAGACTCGACCTCTATTGTGTTATCTGTAATATAACAAATTTCTCGAAATAATGATCTTGCAAAATTGTTATTAATGTGTTATTAATTATTTCTTCACTGTTGCTATGTAGTTATGTTCTATGTGTAGATTTATATTAATTCTGTGAGGAGTTTTACTTCACTGGAGCGTCTTAAATATTACTATTATGGTGAGGTATCCCATGTACCACCAGCCGTCGACCTTCTTTAAACAAAAACAATTATGTTTCTATTTTCAACTTATTAGTTTCATTGCATTTACCTGGGGGTTGAGTAATAGTGATAAACAGAGATTTATGTCGCAATATGAACCACTGAGTAAGGCTATGTTAGGAGCGGAGTGTCCTCACAAGAAATAATAAAGTATTTGTCTGCGTCCATCTGTTAGAGTCTATTTGTGGATTTTAATGAATATCTTAGTACGAGTGCCATGGTCAGCTGCCACTGTCATAGATCTTCAGCATTACTCATTATGACGCCTTTGATTCTTTAGCGTGCTGTTATCACCTTGTCATTATTATTCTTGTTACTGATGTGTCCTTTTCTTGCAGATGGCGGGCAAGCCAGACGCTGTTCCGACTATCATCCTGCCCCGATCCGACCTGACCCTGCACCGCGCCCCACCCTCACCGCTGCGCTGCACTCCGCCCACAAGACCCGCCCGTACAAACGCACGTTCATCTCTCAAGTCTGTACCTGAGGGGTGGACGGGTAGTCTTCCCCACTCAAGTGTGTCCTGCGAAACATCCTTTACCCAAGTTGACTACAACGTGTCAGAGCCGAGTGAACACACCATGCCCACTAAACACTACAGTTCTACCCGTTCCAGGGTCTCCTCCATCCGTTCCAGAACGTCCTCCGTCCGTTCCAAAGTTTCCTCCTTCAGTTCCAAAGTTTCCTCCTTCCGTTCCAATGCCTCCACCCGGTCCAGGTCCTCCCCAAGGCGTTCCAGGACCTCCTCCATTCGTTCCAGGGGAACTTCGACCCTGAGGAGGTCAATCCACAGGAATGGACCTCTATACCGGATTGCCAGGACCCAGGTGGGTTCTGTGAGGCGGTGGGCGGCCGTCGTGAGGAGGCGGATGATGGGAGCGGGCGGTGTGCCACTACTGACACCTGCCCGCTCCCGCCGCCGACCTGAGGTAGAGAGAGCAGCAGAGAGCCCGCCCCTCAGGCCTGCCAGGAATAGCCCCCGGGTACAGGCGACCCGCAGGGCGGCGTTTGCGGCCCGCTCGGTACGGTGGGAGACCGCCAGTGGGCTAGAGGCCTTGTTAGAGTGCGGAGGGTCCGCGGGTAGTGCAGCGGTTACGGGCGTAGGTAGGGTGTGCGCGGCAGTGGTGGCCATGGCGGACGCCAGGCTCCAGCAGCTGCGCCGCTCCATTAGTTCCTGGAGCCTCTCTACCGTAAAGAAGCCCAAGATCACCATCCCCAAGTTCAAGAAGCCCAAACTCAAAGTCTTCGGTGGCAGCAAGAAAAACAGGTGAGTTACCTGGCTGGGCGAATGCCAGTGGTCAACCGGGACACAGGCGCTCACACCTCCTACCGCTAGTCCCTTAGGATGCTTCTTGATTACATACTCAACTACTGACCCTCTCACCCCCCCCCCCTTTAAGCAGTTCGACAAAGGGGAAAGGGAGGGAGCGAGGTCACAGGTAGCACCATAAACAAAGTCACCACCTACACGGCCGTCACCATCCATTATCCCAAACACGTTGAAGACTGTTAAGGATGGTGCAGCCTTACTCTGATGTGTCAGTGCTACTCTTGACTATAGGACCTGAATATGTGTGCTATCAGTTATGCATTCACGTAAGGATACTGCCACAATACGTAGGAAAACACACACACACACACACACACACACACACAACTATCTTATAATAAAATATAAGTACAGAATTTCAGCTAATTCGAGAAAAAAATCTAGTATATAGTAAAATTTCTCATGTTGGAGAGACATATATTTGGCAACAATGTTATGACGGCAGATTCACACCCAAAATAAAAACACTCGCTAATTTTCACTGCTTGAGGTCCTACTTCGTGGTTCCTTTTATGTTGAAGGACCTCGAGTGTAGGCAGTTGGATTAAAGATAACTGGTGGACGTATTTATTACGGAGCGTAAGATCTGTTCTTTTTAACATCTCTTGCAAACATTTATAAGAGCACCACCTCATCACAACTCGCATTAACTGACGGGATATTGAGTGAAGGTCCGTTTTAATAATCTAATTCATGTAATGTAAATTCGGTGGAGAAAGAACCGCATCTGAATTGTATAATTAAAAAACGAACACCCATAAAAACTGCCATAAAACAGGTGAGTAATTTTAAGGCGTTGGCTCCCGTCCTTTACACCTTTCCCGAATTAAATTAGTCCAACACTGTCCTCTTGTTTTTGACGACATGAAATGATACGAACAACAGACAACAAACTGTCCCTCAAGCACACGAGCATGAAACATTATCCAAGAAATGAGGAAACAGTAAACATGAAATAATTAACAAACACAAGACAAACAACAGTAGACAATAGTAAACAGACAACAGTATACAAACAAAAATATACTACACATATAACAGTAGACATAAAGGAGTATAAATATTGTCTACTAAAGAAAGAAGTTGTGTATCATCACGAATTTTACTTACATATGCACGCTGCTCCTCCCACACGCTTCATCTGGGAAAAAAATAATTCAGTTGTAAAAATGATTCTTCAAAATACCATTGCATTTTATCCCCCCCCCCTCCCCACACACACCCCACTGTTTGTTGTTGGACAGCAGTGTAAGCTCTCTCTCTCTCTCTCTCTCTCTCTCTCTCTCTCTCTCTCTCTCTCTCCTTCCTGGTCCATCAGCTGTCCAATCAGACGACTGTCTGTCTCTTCTATCCTGATACTAATCTGACCTTTTAGTCTCGATCAAGTGTCATCGCTCTAATCAGCATCGATATCTAGGTCGTGGGGATTAAATTTATCGATACACATTTACTTGGTATTGTTTAAGTCTACTCCTGAAGTTCTAATGTGTGTGTGTGTGTGTGTGTGTGTGTGTGTGTGTGTGTGTGTGTGTTCGACTGACCTCGTTAAGTCCCCCGGTATATGCCTTGTCACTATGGTGGAATACTGTGCATAAGTTCTATACATCCTCAGTTAACTTTGTTTTTCCGTGGACCTAATGATTTATGTTAACTGCTCAATGAAATATTTTTCCTACTCATCGAGTGACGCTTCAGGTAAGTGTGGTTACAGCCAGAGCTGACGTCAGCAAGTGTCGCATTATTCTTCTAAAAGAATTTTTTTTTTTTACGAATTTCAATCCAAAACTTATTCATCAGTTTCTAAAAAAGAAAATAAATTTAGTTCAGTTTGGTATTTTTGTCCGCCATTTACATTCACACATAAGATTTAAAAGTTACATAAATATAATCGTTTGCAAAACTGAGTAAAAGCCATGAATGATTATACTGTACTTATACTTAACGAAGATGATTACACACACACACACACACACACACACACACACACACACAATAATACCTTAGGTGACGGTGGCAATATAAGAGGTGTGTGTGTGTGTGTGTGTGTGTGTTCCCAAAACATACATCTTAACAAGATTTTTATCCTATATAAACTCATGACACAGACACTCGTATCAGGGAGACACATGGGCAGTTGTATACAGTCTTCTATAACACAGGCTGCACTTGTCTCGTTATCGTGGAGGGTGACAGGATTTGGGTAGTAATTCGCCAAAGGAGAAATTATTGTTCGATATTGAGTAAGACAACTGCAGCCCCAACCCGCTTCAGTGACAGCTGTGTTGATGATGGAAGTTCTGGATAAAATTAATATTTGTTAATATTTCTAGTCAAAGTTATATGACACACATAAATCTGATTTATATACATCATATCTACATATAACCTTAATATATTACTAAATTAGATAAAAGAGTATTGTGCTGTAAGAACGCGCTAGATACATTATTTGTATTGTGACGTGAAGCCTAAAATGACGTGTTCATACTTGATAGACAATGTCCGAGAAGAAGTTTAAAATTTCTGTGATTTGGAAAATAAAGAGAAGTTAAATACGATCAGGAGGTAAAAACAATAACACTTGATATGGTCACTGTCCATATGCTTGTAAAAGAAATAAATGATACTCTCTAGTTATGGGTCAACTGTAATTTCTAGAATATGTTGCATGTTCTTGAATATTTTATGATTCTAAACTCGATACATTTCAATTTCTAAAAAAAAAAATAATTCACTTTAAATATTTGCAAAAGGTTTCAAAAGATAATACAGTAATGTAATGCGTGTTGGGGATGGTGTAATCTTCCCATTACCCCTTCCCCATTTCTCCCTCCCTTCCTCCCTCCCTCCCTTCTTCCCTCCCTCCCTTCTTCCCTTCTTCCTTCCTTCCTTCCCTCCTCCTCCTTCCCTTCCTCCTCCTCCCTTCTTCCCTTCCTCCCTCCTCCTTCTTCCCTTCCTTCTTCCTTCCCTCCTCCTCCTTCTTCCTTCCTCCTTCTTTCTTCTCCATCCCTTCCATCCTCCTCTTCCATCCTCCCTTCCATCCTCCTCCTCACCCTCTCTTCCCTCCCTATGTCCCTGCCTCCTCTCACCCATATCTCTCCCTCTCTAGTAAATCCGTCCCTACTCCTTCCTGTCACCTGAGGCATTTGATACTGAGCATCTCCCGCCATCACACTACTTTCTATTTTCGTTTGTATATCTACTTCAGCCCCCCCACACACCTCGCCTTACCTGCATACTCTACATCCCAGGTAATATTTTTGGTCTCTGTCGCGTTATATTTTCGTCACCCGTCACATACACCTGTTTCCATCCTTGGCGTGTTTACCTAAATCAGCTGTCTAATCGTGGCAACATCATGATACACACAAACACACACACTTGTTCCTTCATATTCACCTGGTCAGCTGTTCAAGATCATCATCATTATCCATTCACACCTGTCCCTGTGGTTACCTGGTCAACTGCTCAAGGTCACCGCCATACGTTTATATACCCAATTGTCAGAGGTATACACTTACTTGGTCACACAGTCCAAGGTGGTCATCACTCACACACACACACACACACACACACACACACACACACACACACACACACACACACACACACACACTTGTATTTACCTGGCCTACTATTGAAGGAGGCTGCACATAACCCGGTATCTGAAAGTTTACAAGCTCAAGGCGTCTATAAGCATCAAATTGTAGTCATCACATCGACAGCCCAGCAGGAGTGATCGTGTTTAACTAGCGTTGAAAACTATCATAAAAAAGACAAATTGGTGTTATAGAAAGAGATTATGGAATATTTTAGCCCTAATTTATAAGTTTCCAAGAAATTATTTCCCAATTTATGGTCTAAAATATGCTTATAACATCTTGCTTAACTTTAAACTTCAAAGAGTTTCAACCAAAATCAATCATCTGTATGTCCACAGATTGTCAATATAAATATAATCAAGAAGTTTGAAAGTAATAGTTCCAAACATCAAAAGAATGAAACTGATAAAACAAAAATATTGAAAAAATAGAGCACACATGAGCGACAGATCAACATGATTGGTGAACACTTGTCAGGTCCACATACAAACAAACAAACAAACAACTACTCTCTTCACTGTTTAGCCTTGAGGTCTTCTTGGGCTTCTGCCTCTCAATGTACTCACCTCCTCGGAGTATTTTTGGCCCTGAGCTTGGACGAGTGTTTCCTGTTCGTCATACTGCTCTCAGAGGGCATTACCTAAGTGTTCTTGTACTCACCCATGATTAATCTAGCTCTCCAGGTGACGCCTTCTGGCTTCTGAACCATCATTCATTATTAAACCACTAATAATGTAACTGTTTCATTGTCAACTGAATTTGCATTATATCTTTATTCTGGTTTTCGGATGTGGATTCTAAACGTAACTTCAGAAATAATCAAGCAGAAATTATAATGAAATACCTCTGAAATAATACAACTTATTTGAAAGTCATTTGTTTGTGCCAGGATCGCATGAGCTATGTATACTTTTGTTTTCCTGCGGCACATGTATTAACCTGTTGGTGTGTGGTTTTCTTTCCGAGGTTTAAAGTTGTTACGTCACATGGAGTAACCCATAGTGTTGATAATAACCAGGCATTAATCTTCACCATCACGTCACCCACGAAACATAACACTTGACACTCAATTTACACTAGGAATTATTGCCGTCGTCACTCTTGAGTCATTCGTTGGAATAATTTTTTGCACGCATACACATCCTACTAATCTTTGGCCAGAATGCTGAGATTGTTTAGCCTGGACTCCCGAAAAATAATCACAGCATTTAATTATTATGAATTTATCCATTATTAATTCTAGTAGCTTCAACGCCAACACTTAAACCTAAGATATCTGAGAAAAGCTTCGATATCAACAAAAACTATGCAGAAATATCCTAGGTCAGAATATTT